AACTTAGCCAAAAAAGTGGTTATAACAAATCATGCTTATGGGTGGTGAGGAGTGTAAGAGGAAACATAGCATATAAGGAGACTAGCTAACACAGTGTACAAAGTATACCTCATTGAGTCTACACCGTCCTCACGTCTCTTATTTTTGTACTCAAAATTTTTTCTATTTTTTATTAAATTTATTTTAAAATTTAAAAAAATGTCGTGTTATTCAGTTAAAAGTAATGATGAAGAAGAATGCTTTTCTACAAGTGATGTAAGTAAAAAAAAATATATATAAGTACAATATTTAAGACTTAGTTAGATTTAAATTTAAATATTTAATACTAATAATAAATAATTTTTAAATATAAAAATGTATAACATATCATAACATTTTTTAACAAACTAGGTATTAACTAATCGCTTACTATATTTATAGGTTGAAATTATGGAACCAGAAATTAAATCGATGACGAAATTGACCGGACAAAAAAGGAAAGATGTGAAAAATAGAAAAACGTTAAAAAAAAACCAAAAAAAGTGAGTAGTATAACATTTTATAAGATATTCAAAGAATAAATTTATAATTTGATTTTATAGAATATTTCTTATCAAGAAAAAATTACCCAATTAATACAAAATGAAAAAATTGCAAAAGATGTTATGAATTCGATTACAATCAGACAAAGTGGAGGAGTTGTAACTATTAAATCGGTTGCTGATGAAAAATGTACTGATTATTGGACGTTGGCACATTATAAAACCAAAAACATTGAACATATTGATGCTAAAGACAGGTAATATATATATATAAATTAATATTTTTTTTCTTTGTATTTACTTTGAAATAAAGTTAGTGTATATTAATGTAAAAATATGATAGAACACATTTATGTGATTTTAGGTGGAAACATGCAGAATGTTCATTAAAACTAGCGATAACAGACCAGTCAAAAGATCAGAATGTTTTAGGAGAGCTGAATGAAATTGTTCAAACGCTCTTTGATCGTTTTATGAAAGACCCAAAAAAAAAAAATTATACAAAACGTTTTTTCAAAATAATTTATATGTATGTATGAATCATGATGACGGTAAATAAAAACAATAATAAAAAAACTTGAATTATTATAATTTTTTTAATTATTTAAATAAAATAAAATAGTACATTTAAAGATTGAAAAAAAAATATAATAAGTTTAATATAATATAATAAATATGAATACAGTATAAAAGTAGTAATAATTATAAAATGAACATTTTTTTATAAAAATTTTTAGCAAACAAAAAATATGAGTATTAAATCTAAAGGTTTTAATTTTTATTACATTACCAAATCTTGCAAAATCATATTTGATAATGAATTAAAATGAAATTGCAACAACTCGTACATGAACGAAATATCATCACTCTGAATATTGCTATAACTAAAATCATAATTTTGAATATATTGGTTTGTAAATTCATTTCGTTGACAATACGATGGTAATCCATTGACGCGTCGGCCTTTATCAACGCGTATGCTGTATCAAATGTTTTTTGGTATGATTCCAACTTCTTTTGTTTTTCAACAATATACAAGTCGATACAATGTTGTAATTGTTTTAAACGATGTAAATCAACGTGAGATAATGTTATATAATTATTATTAGAATATAAAACAATAGTCGATTGGTTAACATTAACGGAATAGAAAAAGTTGTCAGCTATTTTAACACGTTTACATCGGGTATGTAAATTATCAATAATTACGTTATAATTATTTTCACACATTAATGTATACCACTGATCTAGGTCTAACGTAACAATTTTTTTAGTTAATTTACATTCTAATAATATAATAATTGAAATATGTTTATTAATCAAAAGTCCAACTGTTACACTTTTCTTTCCAAAAGGACGGATATCGAACACTGATTTTGTTACAACGACTGGTGGATTCATATTATATAACGATAAGTTCTTTGAAATTATAAAACGATTTTCAAATTAATATTTATACGATTATTTAAAAAAAAAAAATGAATATAAACACTATGACAGTATAGCTTAAACTAACAGTATTTTTTTGCTCACACATGTTATATACTAAAACTGAAGAGGTTAAAAAAGAAAAAAACGGAAAAAAATGTGAACGTATAGTTTAGTTGGATAGCGTGTCGAGGGTTATTTATCTACTTCCCAGATAGCAATTTTGTAATGATGATGTTCTATAAATATCGTGTATTCATTAAAGAAATAATATTTTGTTATAAACGTTTATATAGTATTAATTGGTTATTTTCAAAATAATATTTAAATTCAAATATTTTTTTGATTTTAAATAACTATTTTGAAAAATAATATTTTGAATTTGATATTACTATGAAGTTATAATTAAAATAATTATATCATATTTAGAATATAATAATTATATGATTTTATAATCCAAATAATTAACTATTATTCTTTATCAATTATCTTTATGATTTAATAATTGAAATATCTGAATAATATTATGAATTTATTATTTTTAATGGTTCAATATTAGAATAATATATTATTATTTTTAATAATCTATCAATAGGTTATTAAAATTGAAATAGCTATATAATATTTTAATTATATATATTTATAAATATTATATCATTACAATTGTGAAATTTAAATTATCTAATAATCAAGTAATCTATATAATTGTTATTCATTATATTATTATTATATATGTATATTTACTATTTAGATGGTTTATATTAATCAGTACTCGAATTGTCGGAGGAGTCGGCTTATTATGTCACAGATTTCAGTCATTCAAGATTTCATTTTAAGAGAAACATTAGAAACGTGTCGACTTGGGAATGTCTACTTTAGTATGGTGTATTAGGATTTTGTTTTCATTTATTTTTCTTAGGAAACGGATATCATATTATCGCCAACGACAGTCGATACGACACTAATAATATTATAGCTATTCATAATATTATTATAGTTATTATGTATGACTTATCTAACATGTTTTATTAATTGTATTATAAGACAAATATCCAGAAGTAGTTTTGGTTGTACGTATTATTGACTTCCCTCTCATAATAAAAAATAAACGCCGCAAAAATGCAATTTTAATGAATTTTCGGGAAGCTCGTTTTGGTTTTATATTATAAGACTAGCACCGGTGAAACTCGTTGTAAGTGAATACCCTAGGTCGGTGAAACTCGCTGTATGTGAATACCCTAAGTTGGTGAAACTCGCTGTATGTGAATACCCTAGGTAGCTGAAAATCGTTTGAAATGAATTTCCTAGGTCGGAGACAGGACTTAAGAATACCGCAGTTAAAAAAGTCTAATAGGCTAAACCAGTGATAACGATTTATGAGACGTTGGTACCTCTGATTTGGTGGTTTTACACTTTGGCGGTATCGTTTTAAACGCGTAAATAATAATCTTATAATATTAAAAAAGTATATAAAAGTCCAATTCGAACATTTAGTGGTGGGTTATTTCATTAAATTTACAGGTGTAATACACCTTGTCCCGTAGCTTCCCCTGTGCTTTTGTGCATGGAAAATAAATTAATACATTCCGAAAAGGTAATTAAGTGTCTAGTTATCAGTCATCGTCCAGTGAATATCGATTCCTGACAGGGCAATCCGCCTGTGGCTGATTGTCATACCTCTTGACGTTGAAGGCGTTGTGCTGTTTAGTACGCAAAAAAGTTTAAGTCGAATCGAGCGCTCGATTTCTTAAGCGATCACCATTGAAAATACAGTTAAACGCGTTTAAACCTCCCAGGTAGGCAATCCGACTGCGTCGGATCGCGGACGATGTGAGCGCAAAGTGGAGATTTTAAACGTATTAATGAAAATACATGTCAAACGTTAGCGAGTCGCGGTAAATAGTGAGTCGAAGATCAAAAAACTATATATATTTAATCATTTTTTTGATAACAGAAATTACAATTAATTAACACAAAATTAAAAAATTTAAAAAAAAAAAATGCAAAAAATCCGAATACTTGGTCAGTTATTGTACAGCCCGGATTTCGCCGGAACGTGTTTCGAACCTACCTACCTAACGTCGGAGAACCTCGTCCCGTAGCTCGTTACGAAAACGGCAATCGAGTATCTAGGTATCAGTCATCGCCCAGCGAATATCGATACCTGACAGGGCAATCCGCCTGACGTCGAAGGCGTTGTGCTGTTTAGTACGCAAAAAAGTTTAAGTCGAATCGAGCGCTCGATTTTTCAAGCGATCACCATTGAAAATCCAGTTAAACGCGTTTGAACCTACCAGGTAGGCGATCCGACTGCGTCGGATCGCGGACGATGTGGGCGTAAAGGAGAAATGTTAAACGTATTATGGAAAATGCATATCAAACGTTAGCGAGTTGAAGATCAAAAACCTATACATAATTAATATTTTTTTTGATATTTTATTGATGGTTAGATATCGAAAAGAAATATTATACGCTTTCTGTGATGACAAAATATTTAATGTGCTACTGTTTTTCCCCTGTATCTTTCAAATGTAAACAACTGAAAGGCTAAACATATAAAATATTGAATTCACCGTCAAAACTGAGTGAAACAACTGTATTGTCATCAATAGAATGTCCTCAGGCTATAATATAAATTGCATATCACATATGTACATTTGAATCGTGCAGACTGTTAGCAATAACTATAATTGGTTATTACTTATTATTTTTAATTATAGTACGGCCTGCGAAACTAGGTGGGTGAACGTCGCGCGCCTGGTGGCAAATTTCCGGCAGTGATTCCAAGTCTACATTCCCGCGTAAAATAATTTTAAAAGCGCGGGAGTTGTAATAAAAACTGAACATTCAATATTTCTGTACGTAAAACTCATTATTTATTAACTATCACATGCGCTGACAACTAATAATATTAATATTTTAATTTTTACGCAATTATATTTGTATATATATATATATATATGTACATTTAAAAACTAATAACTAGGTAATGAAACTTAATACTATTTTAATGATATTTACATAAAAAATATATTTCCAAATTGAAATAATTTAGTCATCATTGTCGTCTTCATCTTCACTTGAACTGCTTTCGTCAGGATTAATGGTCAATATTATTGGTTCTAATATCTCGTCTCTTAATCCTGCCTTGGCAAAGTCCTCCTCCTGAATCTTGACGCAATATTCTCCACATTTGGCCCAATCTTCCGGAGTTACTGCATCGATCTCTTTATGCACAATTGTCTCGACATCTGCAATTTTGAATGTTGAATTTTTTTCAGCCACTCTGCCTTTAACTTGGGCCCAAATTAATTCTATTGGATTGTACTGACAGTGGTAAGGGTTAGCCTTACCACTTCATGACCCATTTGGAATGTTAGTTCATCGAGTTTATATTTTTTTCCGCGTGGCATTGAAAGCTTCACTTTTTCTCGTAACTCGTCAAGTGTTTCTACGGGAGAAACATCTATATTTTTATCCCGTAACCACTGTTGAACATCTGCCTTTCTACTGTTGGACTTCGGATAGTTCTCGATCAACGAAGAGTGATACGACGCGTTGTCCATAACAATAATACTCGGCTGTTCTAAGTTAAGTAGCATTTGTGAAAACCAATTTTCAAAAATTGTGGCGTTCATTTGAGAATGATAATCTTTGTTACCAGAATTGCATTGGAAAATAAGTTTTGATTCTTTAATGAATCCGAAGGAAGGAGATCCGGCGTGGCATATGATGAGGCGACTGCCTTTACCCGTAGGTACTTTTAAACCTTCCGTATTTTCTTCATTTTGCCAAATACGTCGACGGGTATGGTTTTGATTAACCCAGGTTTCATCTAAGTAGACTACTGGCCGAGTATCACCGTTCCTACGAAACTCATTCATTTTTCTAAGAAATTTAACGCGTGCAGCTACAATATCCGAACGTTCCATTAAGAATTTGCGACCGTCGTTACATTTCTTAAACTTAAAATTAAGTTGTTTTAAAATTATTTTCACCGACAATTTCAATCCACGGTAATTTAATTTTTCACGCTATTCTACTAATATTTTAGCGGTCGTTGGAAATTCACCTCTGTCGTAAAAGCTATGAACAACTCTTCTGACCACTTCATTGTCAAAATCATCAAGTTCAGTGACAGATTTCTCGCGACTGTATCTTTTTCGTAGTGATTGAAATTTAAGGTCATTAGAACTTCCAACACAAGATTCTTCTTCATTTCCGGTCATTTTACTCTCTTTACATATCCGTTGTACAGTTCTCAGACTCACCGCACAAACCTCGGCCGTCCTCTCCTGGGACTGTAGAAAATAATCTAACAATTCAGGTTTGTCTTTGCTCTTGGCTAAGGTTTTAAAAAATGTATACACGTTGTATATTGTTTTTTTTCGTTTGGGAATGTATATCGGGTCGAATTGACATTTCGAAAAAATAATTTATCACAAATAGTAAAAAAAAACACCAAAAAAATTATAAAATATTGTACAAATTAGCCGTATAAAAATATCACATTTTACTCAAACGATAGCAATCAACACATATACGAAAGGCAGAGGATCGTAGACTAACACGTTTTGAAAAAATACTGTTTCTGTACACAATTTGGTTTCAATAGAATGACAATACAATAAGGCCAATGGAATGCGGTCGCCAGCGCCAGATGGCCAGTTTGAATATAAAAACGCCGCGCTCGATGGTTACCCTCACCCGCAGCAGTTTGTAGTACGCATATTTACATTATACATATTGTATATACGATATACCTTATACCATTGATTAAATATACATAGATAGCCCACGTCAATGGGCATAATGGAAACAAATTAATTAATAGCCCAGTGTGTCAATAGAGAGCGTGTAGGGTCACGATAGAATAATTAAATTATTATTATTATAAATAAATACTAAAATAGGCAGATTCGCCGAAAACGACGACGCGCCACGCGCGACGGTTCAGAGTCCAATATTCATTCTTGGGATTATGAGATAAGAAATAATCTAAATCGTATAGCATATTACAATTATATAATATTATTTTGAATTTTCTTATTTGATATTTATATTCATGTAATTAATATTAATAAATTGTCGTCGGTCCTTGAGACCGTCTAAATTTGAAGGTTCTACAATTGTTTTAATTAAATGTATTACTGTAATAAGTAATCATCGTATTTATATCATTGAAATTTTGATTTGTAGAAAATTAACTTTGTTTTATTATATTATATAATTTTAAGCTGACAGTTTTATATTTAATTAAGACAGCCAACCTGCCCGCGTCATAAAGTAACAACGTATAGATGTAACCTATTATAAAATTATATATTTCACTTTTTCCGTAAAATTGCTGCTCAAGACAATTCAATATTATTGAACATCCTATTTAATAATAGCTATTTCTTGTAACTTAAGCTAATACACATTAGTTCTAAACATTCTATATACTTTTGAATCAACCTGTTATGATAGGATTATAGGACATTAGTTCCGACGTAAATATGTAACTTAAATTTTTTTGGTAATTTATTATTTAAAATACAATAAATAAATACAATAAATACAATACAAATACAAATAATAAAAATACAATAATAATTATAATGATTACAAAAAGTACTAAATAAATAGTTTTACAATTTTAATTATTTTTCAAAATGTTTAGTTTATTTTGCGATTTTTCTGCTCTAGTTTTTTTTAAATTTTTTGATTTCCAGTTAAAATCTCTAAGAAGTTTACAGTTAATTAGATGGATTATAATGAAATTGTAGTGATCTTGACATTTAAATTTACATACATGGGAGATATCTTTTTTTATTTTATTAAAAATAAACTTTTGAATTAATCTTTTGTGAGGCATTTTTTCTACTGTTTTTTTAATAATTATTTGTGCTAAACTTACAAATTCTGTGAAACTAGATGATGGCTTTTTTAAAAAAAAATCAGATGTTTGAGAGTCGTAGTTTCTACAGAAAATTAAAAATTCTTGTTGATTAAATGTATTGCCTTCATCAGATTTTAATAATATACTTATACAATTATTGCATTTAAATTTCTCAGTGCATTTTTTAGCCAAATAACCAGCAAAGTAACTATTTGAACAATTTTCTAATGATATTTGAGGTTCATACCCTGGTTCACATTGCTCATATATTAAATCTTCCATTGATGACAGTGAAAGAGAAGAGCAACTTGATGAGTTTAATTCTTCTTCAATAATAGGTTTTTTAGACAATCCATCATCTACGCTTAATAAATGAATATCATCGTCTGGTTCACAATTTGAGAGTGTGGTTGGCTGCATCAAATTAGACTTAACGTGTAAACGGAAGGTTGTTCTAAATGTTCTTGCAGTTGGATTTCTATATTAATACAAGCATTACATTATATTCAATAAAAACTTTTGTACTCAAAAATATAATATATATAATTACCGATTGTAGCCACCTCTTTGTCGAAAAACAGCAAACATATTTTCAATGGCATCTGAATTGAGTCTTCGCAACAGTAAATAATTATAACCAATTTTAATTTGTTCCTCATATAACATTGTTATAGAATTAATAGTCCATACCATTCCATCAAAACAAGCAGGTCTTACATCTCTGAGTGGTTTTTTTGGGTCTGCAGATATTTTTTTTAAAGACTCAAACCAAGTCTTAGCTTTTAATAAAAATTCAAGTTGACGTGGGCACTTATCAGAAAGAGCACATTTAAAAGGATTAGAATTAAATAGTGAATTGCTGTTCAGACAATCAAGTAAATCATTTAAATGTTTTATCATTTCCATAGTGTTAGGAGCTGTTTTAGATTTAAGTTGCTGTGTCATAATACATGTTTTCATTGTAGTAGCTACTTTATTGCTGAATAGTTGCATAGCCAGCTTACATGACATAAGTTGGAATGGTCCCGGGTTAATATGAGCATCAGTAATTTTAAGCAATGATCGACTTGTGCTACTATTTTTGTCAATGTCATATGTGTCCTTAATATCTTTAAATGATACTTCTTCTTCATTAAACAACAAATTATTTTTCCTGAAATGATTTCTAAGATTTTTGAACAGGTGTGGAACATCAAACATTGTGAACACTTTTTTGTTGTTAACAAAAAAATATGGCTTATCTTTTGTTATGCCCAAGTCTTTATAAGCAGCGATATTACTTGTACCTTGGTCACAAATAAGAGCTTTGACTATAAGCCCACAGTCAAACAAACGTTTCACGGCTTCCTCAAGTAATTCACTTAAAACTTTGTGTTTTACTGATGTTTCTGGTAGAAAATATGCTATTGGCATCTTCCATGACGAATAAACTCCTCTAATTATCATCACCATTGCCTGTCCTGCAAGTTTATTTGTTCGGCCTTTGGGACCCAAGTCTTCATATCCTTCTACCAGGTCCAAATACTTGGAATACTCCAGAAAATTCTTTATCTTCATCTCATCAAAAACTAAAGTGCAATATTTTTCTTCCTCGCTCATTGAATCAACCTTAATTTGTAATTGTTTAAATAAAACTGGACTAAATCCTGGTCGACATTTAGAACTTCCAACCCAACGTCTAATTGAGGAAAGACCAGGTAACGATATTTGTTTTGAATAAAATAAAAATTTATAAGCAGATGGAGACTTATAAAACAAACTTAATGCAAATTGCTTTTCTTTCTGAGACCATGGTTTAAATTTACTGTGTGATACTTGCATATTAACCAGAGTTTTTGAGTTTTCTGATGGAAATGTTAGTAAGTTCATAAAATGTACAGATTTATTTTGACGGTTTTGTATTCTTGATATTATTAAATTTTTTTTCAATTTTGAAATTGTTACTCTTTTAAGTGCTATTGTTTTTTTCTGGCGAGCTACTGTTTGTTTCAATCTTAGTATTAGATCTGCGTCTGAAGTTGATTTTTGAAAAAGTTGTTTTGGTTTTAAAGCAGTAGTTAATGGCAAATTACTAACACTTTTAAAAAAAGAAGTAGTATTCGGTGATATTTCTGGAGTAGTAACATTAGATTGTGATGTACTATACTTTGTAGATTTTACTGGTGTTATTAGTCGAATTCTTTTAGTTGACTCACAAAATGAGGTTGTTCTTTTAATTTAAAAAACTTGATGAGGACTTGATGGAAATTTTGATGCTGCAGAATATGTTTTTATAGGTATACTAACTGGTATGTCACTGCTATCTATTTCTACGAATGGTTGAGGAAATGAACTTTTTTTTAATCTGCATTTGTTGTAACTAGTAAAGTTTTCGTCAAGAAAATGATGACCACAAATGTGCCGTTTGTACAATTCATCTTGGGTGAGATCTGCCAAATCACTATTACCTAAATATAATATAAAAAACAAAATATTGTATTATTACAATACACCTAATATGAAACTGAGACGTTTTTATCTATATGTATCAGTTTTAAGAACTTTAAAGACATATTTAATGAAAACATACTTAATATTGCAATGGGCAGGCCTGGATTAACATATTACTCATATTATTAAATAATTAATGTTACTTTTAAAGTAACTTTCTAACTTAAATATTTGGTTTGAATTAATGATAACTCTCTAACTTAACGGGGTGAATTGAATGTGTAATATTTTGTTTTGATCAAGGGCTGCTAATTGGTAGATTATACATTAATTGATATTTATTAGTTAAGTACTTACCACAATTTAAAATCCATTGCCTCGACAAATGTATATCTTTTGGAAAACGGTATAATTTAAGACCCGGTTCTAAACGAGCACTTTTTCCACATCGTACATACGCACACTTATTTCCACTTCGTGACATGTCGAAAAGTGATTTTATAAGACAAACTTATAAGTTATAACTTTTAAATTTTAACTTTAAACAGCGTTGAACGAACTGCGAACTGCGAA